GGGACCGCACCTCACTCAGCCAGTGAGCGGGACCGCACCTCACTCAGCCAGTGAGCGGGACCGCACCTCACTCAGCCAGTGAGCGGGACCGCACCCTGCAACCCTCGGTGCTGCCCCCGCACCTCACTCAGCCAGTGAGCGGGACCGCACCTCACTCAGCCAGTGAGCGGGAACCGGTCCGTATGTGGGATCCGAACCCTCAGGCAGGAGCGCCGCCGCGCTTCCCAAGCGGCGCACTATCCAGTGCGCCACCGGGCCGGCCCCGGGAGTGTTTATCTTTAAAAAGAGCAGAAAGGGGTGGCATCTTGTCACTTTCTCCAAAGTTGGGGAAGCTTGCCACAAGGATGTGAGGTTGTAGGTCTTCCATGTGGCCCCTGGGGGCAATGGTGGCACCAATGCGGAAAAGTTTCAGGAAGCCAGATTTGGGCTGAACACAAGGAAAACTGTCTAGTTGACATACCTGCCCATCCCTGGAAGGATTTACAGTATGTCAGGCCTGGATGGGCCGAGAGTTCAGCTGGCCCTGCTGCCTGGGGCTCAGAAGGGAATCTGCACAGGGCTATGCATGGGGCCTGAAGCTGAGCCAAGAACCAAGGCCCTGAATCTCTGGCCAGGGCTCCATGGTTGTCACCCTGAGCAGGTTCTAGCCCTGCCACTCTGGTTAAGTGACCATGTGCCAGTCATTTGACTGCTCAGAGCCCTAGATCCCAAGGGAGATGATAATGACATTGACCTCTCAGGATAATCAGGATTAAATTATGTTTGTGAAATATTTAGCAGGGTGCCTGGCATAGGTTTATATACAGGAAGTGGCTATGGTTATGACTTTTCTACAACAGGGTTGTAAACTCAAATGCCTGCCGGGGGCTGGGCAGGCAGCTTGTGTGGGCCAAGTGGGCTACACATGCCGAGACCAAGGGGAACAGGAGAGCTGGGCCCCCTCTAAAGAGGGCAGCTGCTGTTCTGCAGATGATCTGCCAGGCTGGGTAGACACTGCTGGGATTTATCTGGTATGCTCTAGTATGGTGGTTAAATGTTTGGAATTTCACCTGAGGATGGGGGTCTGGGGTTGCCCCAATCATCCTGTTTTCTGAAAGCCTGAAATATAAAATGCATTAAATTTTAAGCTGTTCCATTTCATGCTGTCTTCATTCTGAGGAATTGGTGGGAAGTGGGGGTGGGGGGTAGGAGGGCTTGTTCAGAGGAGATGTGCTAAGCCTTAGGCGTCTCCCAGCCCTAAGCTTCTGGGAGATCTTTTAAGGCCCTAACTCCCCTTGACCTTGCTCTTCTGCCACCAGTCATGACTTGTGCCGACCCTGGTGAGATCACCAATGGGCACCGTACCACCTCAGATGCCGGCTTCCCTGTGGGCTCCCACGTCCAGTACCGCTGTCTGCCAGGGTACAGTCTGGAGGGGGCAGCCGTGCTTACCTGCTACAGCCGGGACACAGGCACACCCAAGTGGAGCGACCGGGTCCCCAAATGCGCCTGTAAGTCTGGACAACCTCCCTGACAAGGGTGGCTGGGTAGGCTTGGGGAAAGCCTGTCTGCCATGTGCTGGCTGCTTGATCATGCAGCCAGCATATGACTGGCACAATCCCTGCAGTGAAGTACGAGCCGTGCCTGAACCCCGGGGTTCCAGAGAATGGCTACCAGACGTTGTACAAGCACCATTATCAGGCGGGCGAGTCCCTACGCTTCTTCTGCTACGAGGGCTTTGAGCTTATCGGCGAGGTCACCATCACGTGTGTGCCTGGCCACCCCTCACAGTGGACCAGCCAGCCCCCGCTCTGCAAAGGTGCCTGGGCAGACAGGGCAGGAGGGGCACATCAGTGTCCGGGGAGCGATAGGGCTGGGAAAGTCAGGTAGCAAATTTGGGACCAATGGGTGACTCTGCTGAGCTCCCCACTCTCCTCGTGTGGGCGATCATCATTGTGGGTGTGTCCAGAAGTTCTGGGGAGAGCTAAGGTCATGGAATTATCCTAAAGGATGTAGTAGAGGGACCTTGGCTTGGAAGTCCCTTGCCCTGTCTGGATAGGCCTCAGTTTCCCTATCTCTGGCAAATTCTGAAGACCTGGTTGGTGCAGATTGTCCAGGAACCCTGAACTTTAGAGATCTGGAGGAGGAAGCCCTGCCCTGACCACTCCTCTCCCCCACCAAGGGAAGGATAAAGTTTAGGTTGTGCAGAGGGCAGAGAGAACCAGGCTGTCCAGCTCAGCCCTACTGGGCTCCCAGCCCTCTACCCAGCCTCCTTCCCTCCCTGGCTCAGACCCCGTCCCCCTCCCCCTCCTCTCCCTGCAGTGGCCTATGAGGAGCTCCTGGACAACCGAAAACTGGAAGGTCAGTGAGGGCGCAGGTGGAGACCCAGGCCTGGCCAGGTCGGGAGGGAAAGGCAGAGGCTGGGGGCAGGAGGCCAGGCCCCAGAGGGGTGAGGCCCAGGGTTCAGAGCCCAGGGCAGGAGGCTGGGAGATCCTGGGACTGGGCCTAGCCTTGGCTCACAGGCCTCTCCTCCCCCAGTGACCCAGACTACAGACCCATCACGGCAGCTGGAGGGTGGGAACCTTGCCTTGGCCATCCTTCTGCCCCTAGGCTTGGTCATCGTCCTTGGCAGTGGTGTTTACATATACTATACCAAGTAAGTACTCAAGTCAGGAGACTGCCTACCAGGGCATAGGTTTTGTCCGCCTGGTGCAGGAACCTGGGCAAAGGGAGCTCCAGGGCTCACCTGTTGATAAGTCTCTCTGTCTCTTCCCTTTCCCAGGCTGCAGGGAAAATCCCTCTTCGGCTTCTCGGGCTCCCATTCCTATAGCCCCATCACCGTGGAGTCGGACTTCAGCAACCCGCTGTATGAAGCTGGGGTGAGACTCTCCCCTATCCCCAGAGTGCCACATCTCTCAGCTTCCCCAGGACTACATAACCTTTTCTCAAGGTCTCTGTAATCTCTGTCTTGGGAATTTCAAACTCAGCTGTCTAAGGCCATGTCAATGAGCAAAGCAAGCCATGTGTGGACAATAGGGAATGGTGAGGACTGCGGCTAACTGGAGAACTTGTGCCCATCTAAAGGATGCAACTCTAGCCCATAGTGGAAACTTAGGCCCAACTGCCAGATCTTCCAATTGTTCAAAAGAATCCAGACATTCAGATTTTAATGTTATTGTAAGACACTATAGGATGAACCAAACACTTCCATTGACCACATTCAACCCCATTCTCACCCTGTGACCTCCAGCCCCCCAGTCATCAATGATACTTTAAAAATCCAGGTCTTCCTCCCTCTTTGTGGATGCTTCCTCCTATTTTGCTGCCTCCTCCACCCCATTCCACAACTGATCTGATCTTTCTATCTTCAGGATACACGGGAGTATGAAGTTTCCATCTGAACCCCAAGACTAAGGCTGCTGGACCCAGGAAGCCCCTCTTCTCATTTGGCTCAGGGGGAAGCACAGGACCTGGTCTCTGACTCCTGGCTCCCCTCCTCCCTGCTGTGTATATAGTTTCCCTGTCCCATGAGGGGGCTTTGATGGCCCTGGAGACCCTACAGTAAATAAACCAGCATCCTGCCACCCAAAGGCTCCTCTTCTCAGTTGCCAAAAAAGGGGCCCGCCCCTCACCCTGCTGGCTTGGACCCTGGGATGGGAACTCAGGCCCCCTGCAACTCTTGGGCCCCTCCAGCCCAAGGCACCCCTCATGGACTGCCCCTGACAGCTCTACCACCAAGGCTTCTCCCCTCCCAGATACCCTGCTTCAGGCCTAACTCCTGGGCGTTGGAAAGTCAGAAGAGGGATGAAAGACAGAGCTGGAACAGGGCCTTGTCCCCTTCCTGTGTCTCCCCAACCTATGTTCTCTCCAACTTTGCTTCTGGATTTTTGTTTTTGAGCAATAAACAGAAAATCACCACTTGTAACTGGGCTGGTGGGGTGTGGGAACATATGTCACCAAATGTTGGAGATGGTAATGGTGACATCTCTGGAGAAAGGGCTGGGGAAGGGGAAACAATTTGTAAAAAAGATGAAAATCCCAAACTGAACACAGGTTAATGTCAAGGGGCCTGGCCTGGGGTCAAAAGGCCTGGCTTTAGGCTCAGCCTCAGAGGGGTACTGGCTGGGACAAGCCCCCCTCTGGACTGCAGAAGCCTCTCTACCAGGCCTGGATGTTGCTAGGCTCTTCTAGCTGGGAGACAACTGACAGTAGCCACCCCTCCCCCCTCACTGTCTGGCAGGAGGCAAATAGCTTTCAATTTGCTCCATGACCAGTTTACCTAAAATCCAACGCCCTTTTGAGAATTTTGTATCCATTAAAGTACACCATTCTTCCCCCCCCCCTTTTTGACATTTTAAGCATATTTGCTATTACATGTCTACCAAGTACAAGCTTGTTTTGTGTCCTTGTGTGTATCCTTTTCTGCTTTATCTACTTTTGAACATCATAAGTTTATAGTCTGTCTGAAGAGACTTCCTACAAGTTAACTGAGTTTTACTTAATTAAAGTTTTATATTTAAATACAATTAAAGATTTTTAGGATACTCAAAAGGATGCTGAAATACTCAAAAGGAGGTTTAATATTTGGAGAACATGAAGCAAACTGATCTTGTTCATAGCTTAAGTTTTTCAGCATTTATTTCCTGCCAGACACTGTGCTAAACACTTTGTATTCATTATGTTTTTTAACCCTCACAAGGACCCTGTGAGACAGGGACAATTTATTATTCCCATTTTTCAGATAAGAAAACTGAGGCTCAGAGATGTGAATTCCTCAGGAGACTCCGTGATCAAGCTGGGATTTAAATGCAAACTTCAGAGCTGGCCGGTTAGCTTAATTGGGTAGAGTGCGGTACTGATAACACCAAGGTCCAGGGGTTTGATCAGCCACCACAAAAAAAAAAAAGAACATTAAATGCAAACTCCACAAAGTCTATTGCACTGCCTTCGAGGGGCGGGATTTAAATGCAAACTTCAGAGCTGGCCGGTTAGCTTAATTGGGTAGAGTGCGGTACTGATAACACCAAGGTCCAGGGGTTTGATCAGCCACCGCAAAAAAAAAAAAGAACATTAAATGCAAACTCCACAAAGTCTATTGCACTGCCTTCGAGGGGACAGGCCATCACTCAGGGTCTACAGTGGTGGCAGAGATGGCTCCTCAGGAGCAAGAGTGGGCCCTCCGAAGTGTCACAGGCCCACACCTTAAGATGCTAAAGTTTGGCTAGGAGAATGGGTTTGGAGCCATGAGCTTACACTCTGCCCACAGGTGGATAGATAACTGCCCGAATTAAAACCATTCCAATAATCTGCCCACACCCAGCATCCACATCTGGCCGAAAAAAAAGCCCCTCCTCTAGCAGCTCTACCCAGAGAAGCCACACCAGAGCACTGCCTGAGTTGCGGGGGGGAGCGGATTCCTGTCCCTTTATTAAAGCCTTTTATTCCTGGTGGTGTCCTTGCCAGCGGAGGGTGGAGAGTCACCCAGAGAAGCCACACCAGAGCATTGCCTGAGTTGCGGGGGGGAGCGGATCCCTGTCCCTTTATTAAAGCCTTTTATTCCTGGTGGTGTCCTTGCCAGCGGAGGGTGGAGAGTCGTGTGATGGTTCCAGATCACTTTGGAGGCTTCAGGGGTGATATTGCTCATGACCAGGGGTCCCCCCCAAACTGAAGTGTTTAACGAGTTGCAAAAGAGGAATTTTGAGGCATGCTCTAGAGGGACAAAATAGGGAGGGTGTGAGAGGCCAGGAACAGAACCAAAGAGGGCTGGGCTCATCCTGCAGATGTCAAGCTGTTAGGAAGAGCTCCCTGGAAGAGAATAAGAGCCTTTTGACTCTTTGGACCCAAAGCTCATGTCTTTTTTTCCTTCCATCCTTCACATACCATCCAATCACTATCCACCACCCACCCATTTACCTATCCACCATTCCCCAACTATCCTTTCATTTATCTATCCCTCTGACACCCACCCACATTCTCCTATCCATCCATCCACACATCTACCCATCACTCCCCACCCATCTTTCCACTCATCCATCCCTCTGCTCATTCATCTATCCTTCACCCATCCTCTCCCTGCTCAGCTGTCTTTTACCTAATCACTTACCCCCCATTTAAACTTGAGAGCAAGGACTCTATTTTGCTCTCTGCTATACTCTTGCCCCTAGAGCAGTGCTGGCACATAGTAAGTGCTTAATAAATAAATGCTCAATTAATTTATCTACCCATTTATCTATTCACCCACTTACCTACCAACCCATCCACTTACCTATTGTCCCACCCAACATTTTTGACTAGCTACAATGCCCCACAATTCAAAGATCTGTAGGCTTCCCTGTTCTTTCTTGAGGGTGAGGAAGGAAAACTCTCCTTGGACATGAGGGGCTGGCAGGTGGATGAGGGGAAGGTGTTAGCTCACGATAAAATCCCCAGTCAAGTGCCTTTGGGAAGGAGGGGAAACCACTGTCTGGACAGACAGGGCCCTCACAGAGCACCCTGCCGGATGGGATAAAGGGAACAGCTCGCACAATGCTCTCTACCGAGTTAATAGCAGATAAGCTATTAAGGCCCAGGGGTTTTCTGTTACTTCAAGCTGCTCTTAACACCAAAGCCCAATTGGGAGAGATCAAATGTCCAAAAGGCACCAGAAAGTCAGCTCCTTGGGGACTAGTGCCTTATTCTCAGCTGTATCTTGCCTCAGGTCTTGGTGATGAATGCTTCAAGTAGTGGCCCAAGTCAGAGAAATGACTGTCCCGGTGGCTTGGTGGATCTGGCACGTAGCGGATACCATGAATGCTTGTCATCAGCTCCTTCTCTGCCATCTTCATGAGCCTCTCTTCTCTGCCCACCCCCGACATGGAGAGGTTTTCCAGGGCTCAATCCTCTTCTTTCTCACGCTACACAACCCCCTGCCACTGCTCCACACTGGGGCAACCACACACCCACCCTTCAACTGTCGACTCCCTCCTGATGCCCTCCAGATCAGATCTCACCATTAGCTCAGACCTCTCCAGTGAGTTGTTCTTCTTTTCGTTTTGTGGTTGGCCAGGATGGGATCTGATCCAAACCCCTGACCTTGGTGTTATAACACCGTGTTCTAACCAACTGTCCAGTGAGTGTTGAACCCATATTTCCAAATGTCTACAGGGTATTTCCATCTGAAATTCCCATGAGCACCTCAAACCCAATGTGTCCAAAGGCAGGGCATGGCTTCCAGGTTCCAGGAAGAATGAGAAGGCTGCTATGACTGAGAGTGAGGAAACAGTAGAGCAATTACAGGAAGTGAGGTCAGAGAGACAATGGGGTGGGGGCGGGGAAAAGATCTCGCAGGGCCTTGTAAGCCATTGAAGGACTTTGGAAACAGGAAGCGATTGTAGAGTTCTAAGCAGAAACATGCCCTGATCAGACTTAGGTTGCCCAAGTCGGAAACCTGGCAGTTCTCTGATTCTTTTTTTTTCACCCACTTTTCATTTCTAGTTAATTACCAAACCTGTCACCTTCCTGGGTCTTTATTTCTTATATATGCCCCTCGTCCCATCTCTACTATTACCATGATGCCATGACAGCTTAAGACCTAATCATCTCTAGCTTCATCTCTTTGGAATAATTTCTTTTCTTTTCTTTTCTTTTTCTTTTTTTTTTTTTGGTAGCTGGCTGAATGAATGGGCACTTATCCATACTATATTGTAATTAGCCATTTACTTGTCTGTCCTCACACTAAGCTGTGAACTCCTCAAGGGCTGAGACTGTATCATTCATTTCTGTGTCCCCAATCCCTAAAACAGGGACTGGCATATAGTGCAAACTCTAAATGTTTGGTTAATACAAATGGCCTTGCCATCCACGGACCCTGTACATACCTTTTCACGAGGGCACAGCAGGTGTGCCTTTGTGCGGGTATGGTTTCTGTCGGAGCTAGAGATGGCAGAAGAGAAGGGAGAGGACTGAGACCTCTGAATTGAAGGATCAGGGCAGAATAAAATAGAACAGCATGCTTCAAAAATCCCCCTACCCTGCGAGGGATGTTGTCAAGCCCTCGTTCTCTCCCCTACAAGCTCCTCATCTTTCTCCCAAGACAAAGGGCATCTCCCTGGAAGATTCACTCACCGGGTGTCTGTGCCTCGGGTCTTGGTGAAGAACACTGGAAATAGAAACCCCAGTCAGAGAAATGACTGTCCCAAAGGCCAGAAAGAGATATGGTTAGGGCAGAAGGGGCAGGGGATTCTTGGCCAGCAGTGGGGAGTGGGTACAGGGTAAGCGGGTGGGGGGCACTGCATGGGTCCTAGGGTGGCTGTGAGATGGGGGAGATGGGCACAGATCCCTGGAGAGGTCAGCTATGATTGTGAAGCGGGGAAGGACTGGAACTAGGAAAGTAGGAGCGTCTCCAGACACAGTGGTCCTGAGGGTTACCGTGTTTGGATATCTGAGTCCCTCGGTCTCGTGTCTGCTTTTCCTTGATGGGCACATGGTTCATGTAGCAGCGAGCCATTAACAAAGCCTCATCTGTGAGTTCTGTGCTGATCCGGGTCAGGAATTCCTCAGAACGGGATAATGAAACCTTCTGGGAAAGGAAAAGTCAGAGGGGCTCAGACTGGGAGCTCCCATGTGGGAGTCCTGGGGCTGGGAGCTCCTAGGCTGGGGACTCTGGATCTAGGGAGTCTGGTACTGGAGGATTGGGCCTAGAGATTTGGCTGGAAGGCCCTAGACTGGGGGAGGAGGGAGGTTCTGGGGGTCTCAGGGCCTAGTGCTGAGAGCTATGGGTCTGGAACTAAGGGCTGAGGGTTGAGCCTAGAGTCTCAGGGCTTGCAGCTCAGACCTGGGACTGGGTTTCCACTACCCAGGAGCTCTTCATTACACTCTCTCCTCCATAGCACCCCTCCAGTACTCACCCGCCCTCCACTCAAGGAGGATGCACCTTGAACCTGCCTGCTGCTCTTTGTCTCCTCATTCTTGGCAGGAGTGGATGCCATCCCCCTGGGGACAGTCAAAGCCTGTGTTAGGCCGAGAAGCCAGCCCACTCCCCCAGAACCCATCCCACTTCCATTCCCTGGGCCCAGATTTATTTATTATTTTATTTATTATTTTTAAAAAAGATGACCGGTAAGGGGATCTTAACCCTTGACTTGGTGTTGTCAGCACCACGCTCTCTGAAGTGAGTTAACCGGCCATCCCTATATAGGATCTGAACCCGTGGCCTTGGTGTTATCAGCAACACACTCTCCCAAGTAAGCCACGGGCCGGCCCTCCACATTTAAACAAGGCCTTTAGATGAAACATCCCGCTGCCTCAGTTCTCTCTGGAAAGAAAAAATTGTAGTTTTACATCCTTGGGGGGGACTCCCACACAACCTTCTCCCCCATTTCACCCAGAGGGCCTCCCCCTCCTTCCTCCCTCCTAAGCCAAGGCTTAGGACTTGCCGCTCCGGACCTGGCAGATGAGTTGAAATCTTGGGCTACTCAGCGGAGGGGAGATGGGGAGGTCTAAGGGAACCCTACTACAGGTCGCGGGGGCCAGGGGGGGGAGGTAAGGTCGGTAGGAGGGGGAGCCGGGGCGGCGCTGCTACCCGTTGTTTTAAAAACTTTGGTGTCTGCGGAAGTTCCGCAGCCCGTTGCTAGGAGATTAGGGGTTCTCGAACCAAAGGCGGGGGCATTTTCCTAGCATGCTCTGTTCGCTCCTCTGGCCTCCCATCCATATACCACCAGGTCTCTCCTTGGTGGCGGTGATCCCAGCGCCAGAGAAGATTGGGGGGATGACGTCAGGTGAGCCCGGGACCTGATCCTCCCGCCACTAGGAGCAGGCGAGAAGCAGCCCCACCCCAGGCCGCCCTTCAGCCGCTCTAGCCGCCTCTGCGCAGTCCGGAGCCAGCGATTGCAAAGGATGCCAGAGACTTAGGGGGCGGAGAAGGAGGATGTGGACTGTACTAAATAACCCCGTCTCCCGGGAATGCAAAGACTCGGGAGGGCGAAATCTTGTCTCCTTAACTTCGCCTCCAGGAAGTCGTACCCTCCGTTAAAAGGAAAGTAGGGACACCCATCTAGGCCGCCTTCTCTTTTGCCCTTTGTTTTCAGTACCTTCCTTTGCCCGGCGTCGATGGTCCTCTATCCCCTCCCCTCCCTCTGCACCTTGGTACGAGCCCATGGAAAGGGGAGGAGGGAGGCAAAAGGAAAGGAAGCGGCCCGTCCTAAAGGGGCCGCAGCCACTCGCCGATCCTTTTCCTCCTTCCTCCAGTTTTGCAGCGACAGTCGTCCAAGAGTAGGTTCCCGGAAGCCGGGCACAGCTGGAGCAGCAGGGACTGCTGCTGGTGGCGGGAGCCTGCGGGCCGGGCGGAGGCAAGGGGCCGCTCATCGGAGGGGCGGGCTGTGCCCCTGTGCCCCGCGCACATCTGGGCCGGCCCATGCTGCGGCCGGCGGCGAGCTTTAACATCTGGGGCCGGGCCGGGGCGACGGGGTCCAGGGTGCAGGTGGTGCGGCCCATGTGCCAGGCCGGAGGGTGAGGCCACGCGGTGGGGCTGGGACGGCGCTGGCACCTCCAGAGAGTGCCCGGGGCGGCGAGGGGGCCGCCGTGATGCCAAACGAAAATATCTTCTTGTTCGTGCCTAACCTCATCGGTGAGTGCTGCCCGTGGCTCCGGGCCGAACGGGAGGGTGAGGCGCCTTGCGCAGGCTCCCTGACCCCGTCCTGTCTCCCCCCTCCCGTCCCATTCCAAGGTTATGCCCGGATTGTCTTCGCCATCATTTCTTTCTACTTCATGCCCTGCTGCCCCCTCACGGCCTCTTCCTTCTACCTGCTCAGCGGGCTTCTGGACGCTCTCGATGGACAGGCGGCTCGAGCCCTTAATCAAGGTCACAGACATCCCCTCCCAGCCAGCCTTGGGGCCCAACCACGCTCTGCCCCCTTTCCCTGCCTGAGCAGGATCTCAGAGTCAGAGGGCTGTCATTCCCATCTCTGTAGAAAGCAGAACAGAACGGTCTGGTTTTGTAGCAGAAGGGATTTAAGCTAGCTCTTGGGAATTCCCTGCTTATGAGGGGCGTGGGCAAGATTGGGCCTGGCAGTGGCGATGCTGAAAGTCTCTCTGAATAAAAATCCATTCAACAGGTGTTCACTCGGAGCCTACTGTGTGCCAGGCACAGCAATAGGGATTCCAGAAGGCATGCTCAGAGGGAGGCTGGAGAGGGAAGGAGGGATGGCTTCTGGGGGGTTGACTAATTCATCTGTTCTCCAGACCCACCTCTAAGACTTCCCCTAAGACTTCAGGTCTCCTTGTCTTGCCCTGGAGTTTTGGCTCTGGGCTTGATGAGTTGCAGAGATAGCTTTCCCAGCCCCCTCCCACATTGATCACACTCTCATGCCTGCTCATCTTATGACATGCTGACCCTTGTCCCTTGACCTCACGCCCACTGATAGCAGCTTGTTTTCCTCCCCAGGCAGTGGGTGGTGGACATTTCCAATCTTCCTTTAGACTCTACATCAGAGCAATACAGCAAATATGGGCACCTGTCGTAGATCAGTTGCCCTCTAACAGTCCCTTCCCACCTAACTCCCCATTATTCAGGAACTCGGTTTGGGGCCATGCTGGACATGCTCACGGACCGCTGCTCCACCATGTGTCTGTTGGTCAACCTGGCCCTGTTGTACCCTCGAGCCACCCTTCTCTTCCAGCTCAGCATGAGCTTGGATGTGGCCAGTCACTGGCTGCATCTCCACAGGTCTGTTGCAGTTCTGGGGGTGTTGGCCCATTGAAGATACTATCATGGGAAGTGGGGGACACTAGATGAAGGGTGTCTGGATGGCTTCAGGCTTCTTGGGAGGGCTCCTCCTTTAGCTCTGCTTTGTTGAAAGACCCTGGGTGCAAACCCCGTCTCTGAATCAGCTTCAGTCTTGTTTACAGTTGGATTAAGCAATTCCTAAAACCCTTCTAGTTGGATGTTCTAGGATTCCAAATGGGTGATGGTTCCTAAGGGGAATGGGTTCGGCTTTTGAACATGGCATTTGAATTCTGAGTCTGCCCCTGACTAGGTAGTTGTGTGGCTTTGGGTGTTATGCTTGTCCTCCACTGCCCCCAGTTCCTCATCTGCACATAGGGGCAATCCCAGTAGCTACCACGCAGGGCCTTGGAAGATTAGGTGGATGCTAGGGTCATGAAAGCTCATGGATTTCCCCCCACGTTCTCCCCAAGTTCTGTGGTCCGAGGCAGTGAGAGTCACAAGATGATCGACCTGTCCGGGAATCCAGTGCTTCGGATCTATTACACCTCCAGGGTGAGCATTTACTGCCCCTCCCTTAATCACTCAGCTGTAGGATGTCCTGGGCGGAACCCTGGTCCCAGGAAGGGCACCAGCCAGAGGAGGGCCAGCCCAGTCTTAAGGAAGGAGGGACCTTGTAAGCTGAGGCATGAAGGAGGAGCAGGATTGGTGGGGAGGGCTGCTGTGAATTGTACAGGCCAGCAAACGGGAATGAGCCCACACGCAACCAGGGAGGTGCTAAGTGGAGGGAGGAGGGAGGGAGAGAGAGAGGGAGAGAGAGAGGAGCCAGAGAGGTCTGCAGGGCCCAAGCGTGCACTCTTTTCTGGGAGCACGGGCAGCCTCTGAAAGGACTTTTAAAAAGAGAAGTAATGTGCCAAGATTGCACTCCCCCACAGGGGGTAGGGGTCGGTACACTACCCTGCCTCTCACACAGTCTCTGTGCTGTGCGTGCAGCCTGCTCTGTTCACCCTGTGTGCTGGAAATGAGCTCTTCTACTGCCTCCTCTACCTGTTCAACTTCTCCGAGGGACCTTCAGGTAGGAGACGAGGGGCTGGGCAGGAGGCTGGGAGGGGATTCTGGCCTCCCTGGGGAGGTGAAGTCCTCTGACCTCTGGACCCCCTGCTGCCTTCCCACAGTTGGCTCCGTGGGGCTTTTCCGAATGGGCCTCTGGATCACCGCCCCCATTGCCTTGCTCAAGTCCCTCATCAGTGTCATCCACCTGATCACAGCCGCCCGCAACATGGCTGCCCTGGACGCGGCAGACCGTGCCAGGAAGAAGTGACCCGGGAACCTCTGGGGCCCAGCTGCCCACCTGCCCTGGGAATCTCACTCTGCCACATGGCTCCCCTCCCCCTCCTAGGAGGTCCCAGTCTCATGTCTTCCTAATATATTGTCCAACTGCTGGGATGGGAGTCAGCCTGTCTTTGGTGATGTGTCATGTTCTCTGTAATCCTGAGGACCAGGCCCACCCCTGTGATCCCCAAGGACCTGGGCTTTAAATCAGGAAGGGTGCTCAGGAGTCCCTGCCCATGGAGATGGTGCTCTGGGGATGCCAGGAGGCCAGACTGAGGACTGGGGGTTATCACACCCTCTGGCTCAGCCCTGGGGTCTGGCATGGCCTGAGATTTTAGGGACGCTTCAGTGAGGGAGATGGTGTAGGGGCCAGGTTTCCCAAAAATCAGAGGAATCAGACCTCTGCCCCTGGCCAGAAGAAGCCTGGGGGTGCCATGCCCAGGAGGAACGGGGCCGTCTAGATCCTTCTCCATTGCAGTTTCTTCTGCCCTGCCCACCCTGTCCCTGGAAGCCTCGATAATAAAGGTGGGAACATCACTAATCTGGATTTGGTTTCCTTTGAGACATTCTTGAACCAGGGCCTGGGTCGAGGGGAGCTTGGGATAGAAGTAAGATTTATCCGGATGCCTTTGCCCAGGTGTCTGCTGGCTGGCTCCTTCCTGTCATTCCACAGTGACCTCAGGGGGAGGCCCTTCTTGCCACCCAAGTTCATGCTGTGTCCTCTCTGCCCCCCTGCCTGCCTTATATCACTGGCTATCTCATTTATTTGTATTCTCAATATTTTCTGCTCCCACTAGAATGTAAACTCTGTGAGGGCACAGACTTTTCTTGTTCCCTCCTCTATCCCTAGAATGAAGACTAACCCTAACCTGGCATATAGTAGCTGCTTAATAAATACCTGTGAGTCGATCAGTTGGTTTCTGAGAGTGTGGTCCTTAGACCACCTGTGAGATATTTCTTAAAAATGCAACTTCTTGGACCCTGCACAAGACAATCAGAGTCAGAATCTCTAGAGATGGGTCCCAAAGCCTGCAGTTTTAATAACTGCGGGTGATTCTTCCTCCCAATAACATTGAGAATGACTGTTCCTTCTTAAACATTGCTGGGCACCTGTAATCTACTAGGCATTGTTCTGGGCATCTGTCCCTCACAGCTACCCCTGCCATCTGAGCTTTCTCTGCTGTCTGGCACCAGCTTTCTTCATAAACTATATTGGGCCTCCCATATGCCAGACCCTGTTATGGGAATTCTTTGCAGATGTTACTCATTTTATCCTCACTGTAGCTTAGCCAAGTGGCCTGAGAGGCCCTCGTGTCCGGGAGAGCTGGAATTGATCAGATGTATATTGAGCCTTGATTCCTGTGCTAGGCCCAGGGGATTCAGTGGGAATTAGGCCACTGGCTTCCCAGCCCTCCTGGAG